AAATAAAAAAGAAAAAGCAATAAGAGATGGTCACTGTTAGTGACACACAAATTGAAACAATGAATTTAATTTTTCACCTGTTAACTCTGTAACTATTAAAAATTTAGGCAGGGGCCACGTACAATGGCTCATGCCTACAATACCAGCATTTTGAGAAGTCCAGGCAGGAGGACAGCTTGAGTCCAGGAGTTCAAGACTAGCCTTAGCAATAGAGTGAGACAACAACTCCACAAAAAATAAAAACAATTAGCTGATAAAGTGGAACACATATGTAGTCCCAGATACTCAGGAGGCTGAAACAGCTGAAGCTCCAGTGAACTATGATCTGAGTGAGCATGTAATTTGTTACAAACTTTTATAATTCAATTTCACAAACTCTATTAAATTGGACATATCCTATCCACAAATCTATATATGGAAAAGGATAAGTATACAAGGATGTTAACCATGGCACTGTTTATAAAGCAAAAAGACTGAAAGTAACCTAAATGGGACCTTACAACAGGCTTTTATTGGAGACAGAGTCTTACTCTGTTGCCCCGGGTAGTGTAATGTAAGATAATAGCTCACAGCAACCTTAAACTCTTGGCCTCAAGCGATCCTCTTGCCTCAGCCTCCTGAGTAGCTGGGACTATAGGCAGGCGCTACAACACTTGGCTGTTTTTTCCTATTTTTAGTAGAGACTGGGTCTCACTCTTGCTCAGGTTGGCTTCGGCCTCCCAAAGTGCTGAGATTGTAGGCACCATGCCCAGCCTGCAACAATTGTTTTACTTTTTTTTTTTTTTTCAGTTTTTGGTGGCCAGGCTAGATTTGAACCTGCCACCTCCAGCATATGAGGCCAGCGCCCTACTCCTTTGAGCCACAGGTGCTGCCCCCCACCCCAACAATTGTTTTAATGTGAACTGACTTAGATGTCTAAAATTGTGGCACATTCTAGGTGCTCAATAAATATGTAGCATATGGAAAAAAATGAATGAACAGAAAAAATTCTAGCAGGCTATATACCAAAACTGATAAGAATGATTACCTCCAGGAACATGGGACAGGGGAGAATAGTCATTTTCTGCCTTTTATACTTCAGTATTTTGTGGATTTTGTAAAAGAAATATGAACTAATTTTTAAAGATTATTTAAAAGACTTGTTTCTGGTAATATCTCTCTCTGCCTTTATCTCACTTTTAGGATGATTCTAAGAACACAAGGAACTTCCATTCAACGGCCCAAATGGTAGACTGGCTCAAGGAAATTTGTGTACAAAAATACTGTTTGGAAAAATCGTAACTTAAATGTAATCAATATTTCCTTCCATCAAATGCACTTTGCACAGTCCATCTTTAGCAGGGGCTCTCCCTAATGCCTAACGTTTTGGGGGGGGAGCATTTGACAAGAGGATCAAGTTTCCATTTTCCCAATGGAAAGGAGTCCTATGGTCTTTCCCAGGTGAGGAGGCCAAAGTTTTTGTTTGTTTTTTTGAGACAGAGTCTCAAAGTGTCGCCCTATGATCTTTCCCAGGTGAGGAGGCCAGTGTTTTTTCTTTGGGACAGAATCTCAAGCTGTTGCCCTGGAGAGAGTGACATGACGACATCAGAGCTCACAGCAACCTCCAACTCTTGGGCTCAACCCATCCTCTTGCCTCAGTTTTTTGTATTTTTAGTAGAGACGGAGTCTCGCTCTGCCTCAGGCTAGTCTCAAACCCTTGAGCTCAAGCAATCCACCCGCCTCCCGTCCCAGAGTGCTACGTGAAAGAGTAGAAGGTAACCAGGCTGGCCTCGGGGTGCACAGACCAGAACTGGGACTTTGACTTCAGCAGGGAGTAGTGAAGCCCCCGGCTACTCAGGAAACGCCTCTGAAAGAACACTAATTTTCAGATTGTGGTTGAAAGTGCAAGGCTGGAGTATGCAAAGAAAGTTAACCCCTCTCTCAGGTCGCCCTAAAATCTGCACACTTGGCCCCATTGTAAAGTTCAGGGAAAGACAACCTCGGCTGAGTTATGTGAAGAGGCTGGAAACCAATACAAACTGGTCAACATATGGAGATGGTCAATATAAGCTAGTAGGCCTACTGTACTGATAATGTACACAGTGGTGCACTTCTGGTCTATGAAAATTAGGACAACTTAAGGAGGTGGTCAATGTAGGGAAGTGGCCAACTATGGAGGTTTTACTGTATTCTGGCTCTAAGTGGGGCTCTGGCTCAGAAGTTTTGAAGACAAAATCAGAGACGGGGGAAAGTGATGGCGCTCTTTCAAGAAGCCTTAACTAGCTCCAACAAATCCTCTGAGGAGCATCCAGTGTATAACTATTTCTGTGCCCAGCTTCCTGCCCTCAGTCAAGATGGCGGTCGGGGCTCGTACGCGCCAGGGCGCACGCGCCTTTCCCGGCCCTCCTTCCTCTGGCCCTTCCGCGCGCCGGCACCACCCACTCGCCAGCTGCACCTCTCAGGGTGTCCCCAGCCTCACCCACTTTCTGGCTGCCTCTCTCCGTCTAGCTCCTGAGCCCGGAAGTGGATGTAGCCGCTTAGCGGAGAGGACAGAGGGGGAAGTGCTTCCGGGGAAACGGGCCCGGGTTGGTGTTTGTAAACTTGCCTCGGTCCCGGTGGGGGCAGCGGCGGCCGCAGGGTTGGCAGGGTGTGCTAGGGCCTGGAGGAGGCGCCGCGCGGCCGGGGAGACAGCGGGAGGCCGCGCCTGGCAGGTAGGAGCAACCCCCAGGGAGCGCGCAGCGTATCCCAGGCAGACAGCAACGCTTCTGCAGCTCGCAGGCCGTGGGGCGCCGCGCGGGAAGGAGGAGGGGAAGGGAGGAGGGGCGCGTGGCGGAGGGAGGGGGGTCCCTGAGGGAGGGGAAAGGCTGTGCGCGCACCCCGCCCCCAGTCTGCGCGTCCCGTCTCGTCCCCGGCCTGGGAGAGCGGGGCAAGTGGCAGGGACGCGAGCGCGAGCACGCACCTCGCGCTCTGCTCAGCGCTCTCCGGCCCTCTCCTCCTGATCAGTGCGGCTGGCGCAGCTGCTGGCTGGATGGCGGGCGGGTGGGACGGAACGTGCCGCGCTGGGCTTCGGCTGCTAGCCCTCCGCCTCCGCGGCGAGTTTCCGTACCTTCGGGCGGACTTGAAGAACGCGCACGTGCAGGCACTGCCAGTCCGGTTTCTGCCCGCCACCCAAGCGCAGTGAGATGGCCTGAGCTTTTCTCCACCCCAGTTCTGGCAGTCTCCAAAGTATGAGCTTTGCGGGCCGGCCCACTCCGCACAAAAGCCTCAAGGGGTCTCCGCCCCTTCCATTCCTAAAATGGCAAATCCTAGCAATTGCCCTGTTGGCAGAGTTCTTCCATACGAGGCCCCAATTACTTTTGCTCCTGTTGGCTACCCCTCCTCCTTGCCCAGGAGACCAGTTTCTCCTACTGACCTAGAAAGAAAATGCTTCTTGACTCATGTCCTCTTTCTGAGCTTCACAGAGAGCGCCCAGCAAAAAAAAAAAAAAAAGTTCAGCGTATCACACGTTGTATGGCCTGAGAATGTTACACTTAGCAGCGGCCTCTCCATTTCTGGTTTCAGGTTTCTGGTTTCTGAAACAGATCGTGAGCTTCACCAAGAGAATTCAACTGGAAAACCAAGACTGGCAGACTCTTTTTCTTCAGACAATAGGCAGGAGCCAGACAAAGTCCAGGGATTCTTAGGACACCGATTTTTTTTCTTTGGAGGACGCTAAGTTCTGTTTGACGACAAAGTTCAATATGGCAACAGGACTGAAGAAACGCGAAGAAACCATTACCATAATTTGGTGACAGTTCTTTAAACAACAGTCCCTTAAGGAAGGGTGGATCAAGGACCTCCTGAACTTTTGTGTTGCATTAAGTGAGAAATCAGCATGGCTCAGGTAAAAAGCTCTAGAGTCCTCCTCCTTCAAGATCACTGGGAAGCCTGTTTGCAGTTTCACTCTTGAATGCTGCCTTAGTCAACAAATTGACCAACCCCAGTGAGCCAAGCTATTAAGCACCAGGGGGAGATCTAGAGGAAGGAAAGGAGACAGGCCACAGCCCCTGCCTTCAGGGAGCTTCCAGTCAAATGAAGGAGGTAGGCTATTCTGCATCACAGGCACTAATGGGACATTTACAAACCAACATGTACTCAGTTTATGTTTGGAATGTTAAGTGCTGAGGAGTGTAAGAGAGTGAATAGTCTGGTGAATGCTTCGTTTATTTTTTTCAGCAGGAATTTATTGAACTCCTGTTATATGCAAGGCATTGTGCTGGGAATACAAAGATGAATAAGATTGTCCTTGTACCCAAGCAAGCTTCCGGGCTAATTGGGGTGAGGGGAGGGATGGAAAGATCTTTATTTTTGTAGTGACACCACTTTGCATAGGGGCTGGCTAGTAGTAGAGACTCTGTTGATTGAAGGAATGTGTAATAATAGAGGTATGTGCACTGCAGAGGAGAGGATGATACTTCTTCTTGAATAGAACAAAAAGATGAAGCTTGAAGGATGCATAGTGTTTTGCTAGATAAATAAGCAGAGAAAGGCATTCCTACATGAACTATGTGGGCAGGGGCTTAGAGACATGGGAAAATGTGATGAGATTCCAGGTACTGCAGGTAGTTCACGTTTATGGAGCAAAGGATTTAAATGGGGATAGTTAGGGAAATAAAATAGTGATGGCTGGGTAGGTGGGTGAGTTCATGGAGAAGTAAGCATGGTTCAATCCAAAGGCCTTTTGTGCCTTGTAAAGGAATTAGACCTTATTCTATAGTGGTGGTTCTCAACCTTCTTAATTCTTCCTAATGCTGCGACCCTTTGATACAGTTCTTCCATGTTCTGGTGACCCCCAACCATAAAATTATTTTAGTTGCTACTTCGTAACTGTAATTTTGCTACCGTTATGAATCATAATGTAAATATCTGATATGCAGGATGTATTTTCATTGTTACAAAGGGGTTGCAACCCACAGATTGAGAACCACTGTTCTATAGGGAATAGGGACTCCCTGAAGAATGTTAAGCAGCAGAGAAAAATCAAATGTAAGTGTATTAAAAAGTCTTTGGGGGCTCGGCGCCTATAGCTCAACCGGCTAAGGCGCCAGCCACGTACACCTAAGGTGGCGGG